TGGAGGAGGTTTTAAGACGAACTGTCCGAATACATCTGCCATTACCTACAGGTGGCTGTAGTAGCTGCACACGTGCAACTTGTGCGTCCTTGTTCGAACAGTTCGGTCTCTACCACCTCTTCAACGCCGTAGAACTCGTCCGGTTTTTTGTGTGTACGTCGGCTAAGCCAGTTTTGGTGGACATTGCTCCTGCACTCGACGCGATAGTGTCTCTTGCACTATTATTAAGAGTCTAAGATTTACTCCAGGGAGGAATTTTGGAAACCATTTCAATCCTAAACTGTGCCTTTGAGAAGTATACCTCACGGACTAATCAAAATAAAAAATCAAAATAAATATGTCCGAGTGGAATGCGAAAGAAACAGGAGTAATAATCCTAGACTGTCTAGTAATAATGCCAGGTTTGTTTCATTTATGGAAAATGCTTTATTGTGACACTACTGTTAACTGTACATTTACTTCAGGACTCCGGACATCATTCTTATTTCACCATAGGAACTGATCCAGTCGTTGCTAGAAAGCACCAGCTAAGGGTTCAAATGAAAAAATCGGATTGTGCGGTTTTGAGGAAGGTAAGGAAGAACTGATAATCATACAGTGAACATAGCAGTCACAGAAACTGCACAGAAACCGCTTGAAGCTATTTTAATGCAATGGCATGGGTAAAAGGACGAAATAATTACTTTCTTTGATTTTTCTGTCAACGGACAGAGGTGGTGCAATGGGATTGTCCGAAGGTGGAATATCAGATCAACACACGTCAGGCCAACCAAGTTATTTATCCCTCCAGGAGTGCTCATTTCATACTGCACTAAATCCCTGATCTGTATTTCGCCAAAAAACCGCAGTTCATTGTGTAGGGCACATACGCATTTAAAACGCTGTTACGATTCTGAATGAAAGACGAATGCGGGGCGCATCATGCATCTGAGCATATTGGTTAGACTTCAATATGGTAAAGAGCGGTAATCTTTTGTTGAGGTCCCCACCGAATTGATATGACCTCTCATGCACACCTCAGTGCCAACACTGAACAAATTACAGCGTTCGTAACCACTGCACTATGCTCTTTTTTGGTTTTTCAACTTCTGGTTGACAATGGAAAGCGATGATGTCGATTTCAGATGCGAAGCGATGATCGCGACACTTTGTGCCGTTTCATCGGATTGTGTTTGGATGCTCCAGAGATGATGTCTGTGTGGAGATACTGTTCCCGTGGATCGCTCAAAGTCATAAAAGGTCTTTTAGGGTACCGAGCGTTCCATGAACATTTCTTTTCAGGATGTAATTGAGAAAGGCTCGCTTCAAATGGACTGGTTTTTCAAGTATTCTCTGATAAAAGATATCATAGAGGTGCGTTTTGTCAGCAGAATTCATGAAATTGCGAGAAGTTTTGTGAAAATGCAGTTGAGGCGAGGGGGATCAAGGAATAAACATGGTATTATGTGTGACTCCGTGTTACACCACAGACATGCAATCTTGCAACCCACCGGAGGGAGAGAGCTCAGGGGTGAGAGAAATTTTGGCTTTTGCATTAGGTATTCATCCCACCCAACCTGGTGCTCCTACCATCTTGAGGTATACCTGAAAAAACTAAATCCCACTGGCTGAAAACCACAAAAGAACGCACAGAAGGCCGGTGCTCATCCTCTCTTCATCTTCGCTTACATTTAAAAACGCGACAATTTCTTTTTATACTAACACTGTTATTCCTTNGTCAGCTGAGCCAATTTTAGTGGCCACTGCTCCCTGTTATTCCACGCGATAGTGTCCCTTACACTATCCTTAAGAGTCCAAGATTTACCCCAGGGAGGAATCTTAGAAACCATTTCAATCCTAAACTGTGCCTCTGAGAAGTGTACCTAACGGACTAATCAAAATAAAAAATCAAAATAAATATGTCCGAATGGAATGCGAAAGAAACAGGAGTAATAATCCTAGACTGTCTAGTAATAGTGCCAGGTTTGTTTCATTTATGGAAAATGCTTTATTGT